TGAAAGTGGGCATTCTTACCTTGTTCCCAGTCTCTGGGGTAAACAGTTTAGTCTTTCACCATTGATTATGATCTTCACTACACATATTTTATAGATGCTCTTTTCAGTTTGAGGAATTTTCTACCATTCCTACTTTGTTGAGAGTTTTTATTATGAATGAGTGCTGAATTTTGTCAAGTGCTTTCCCTGCATCTGCTGAAATCATTGTAGAGTTTTTTTCCTTTATTCTGTTAATATGGTGAATAACATTGTTTAACATTTGAAAATCAATCAAGCCTTGCATCCCTGAGACAAACTCTACTTGGTTGTGGTGTATTACCTTTTTTACATATTGCTGGATTCAATTTACTACTATTTAGTCAACGATTTTTGCATCTATATTCATGAGGATTACTGGTCTGTAATCTTCTTTTCTTCTTTTGAGGACAGTTTTTGATAACCAATTCAACTTTTTTTGTATGTGTGTAAGGAAGATGGGCCCTGAGCTAACATCTGTGCCAATCTTCCTCTATTTTATGTGGGATGCTGCCACAGTGTGGCTTGAGGAGCAGTGTTAGGTCCACGCCCAGGATCCAAACCAGCGAACCCCAGGCCACCGAAGTGGAGTGCGTGAACTTAACCCACTACACCACCGGGCTGGCCCCTTAACTTCTTTAATAGACGTAGGGCTATTCATTTGGTTCTTATTTTGTGAATTTTGGCAAGTTGTGTTTTTCAAGAAATGAGTCTATTCCATTTATTTAATATTTGTTGTGTTCATTGACATAAGATCGTCCATAGTATTCTCTTGTTATCCTTTTAATATCCATAGACATTGAGATAATAGATATAATAGATAATATCTATAGATTCTGAGGTGACAATCTCTTTTTCATTGTTGATAGTTATGACTTGTGTTCTCTCTTTTCTTGATCAGTTTAGCTAGAGGTTTGTCAACTTTGCTCATCTTTTCAAAGAGCCAGTTTTATATGTGTTAATTTTCTCAATTGTCTATTTTCTATTTCATTGATTTCTACTCTTATTTTTATTATTTCTTTCCTTATCTTTTACTTTGAGTTTCCTTTCCTCCTCTTCTTCTATTTCTTATGGTGAAACCTCAGGTCATTGATTTTAGACCTTATTTCTTTTCTAATATTAGCATTTAAAGCTATACATTTCATTCTAATTCTGCTTTAGCTTCAGCCCATAAACTTTGATGTTGTATTTTCATTGTCACTCAGTTTAAAACATTTTCTAATTTTCCCTGTGATTTTTGTCTTTGATTCATGAATTATTTAGAAGTATGTCACTTTATTTTCAGCTATTTGAGGTTGTCCTAGTTAATCTATTGTTACTGATTTCTAACTTAATTCTGTTGTATTCAGAGAACATACTTTGGATGATTTCAATTCTTTTAAATTTATTGAGACTTGTTTTATGGCCCAGGATATCACCTATCTCAGCAAATGTACTACGTGCACTTGAAAATAATGTATATGCTGCAGTTGTTGGATGCCAGTTAGTTCAGGGTGGTTGATTATGTTGTTCAGATCATCTAAGTCTTTACTGATATTTGGTCTAATTATTCTATCAATTTCTAAGATAGAGGTGTTAAAAATCCTACTATATTGCAGAATTGTCTGTTTCTCCCTTTAATTTCTGTCAATTTTTGCTTCATGTATTTTGAGGGTCTATCTTTACATAAAAACACATTTATATTTGATATGTCTCCCTGATGAATTGTTCATCATTATGAAGTGGTCCTCTTTTTTTTTTTTTTTTTTTTTGGAGGAAAATTGGCCCCGAGCTAACATCTGTTGCCAATCTTCCTCTTTTTGCTTGAAGAAGACAGTCACTGAGCTAACATCTGTGCCAATCTTCCTCTATTTTATGTGGGGTGCCACCACAGTGTGGCTTGATGAGCAGTGCCAGGTCTGCACCTGGGATCCGAAACTGTGAACCCCAGGCCACTGAAGCAGAACATGCAAACTTAACCACTATGCCACCAGGCTAGTCACAGGTGAAGTGGCCCTCTTTATAATACTCTTTGTCTGAAAGTCTATTTTATCTGATATTAATAAAAAACCATACCAGCCTTCTCATCCTTCATTTTTGCATGTTATATCTTTTTCCATCCACTTAAGTGTCAACCTACACGTTCCCTATAGCCAGCCTAATAGGAGGAGTTTTATCTACTCTAGCAATCTCTGCCTTTGAACTGGAATTTTTAAGACCTTTTACAGGCATACCTTGGAGATATTGTGGATTTGGTTCCAGACCACTGCAATAAAGCAAGTTACACAAATTTTTTGGTTTCCCAGTGCATATAAAAGTTATGTCTACACTACACTGTAGTCTAGTAAGTGTGAAATAGTATTATGTTTAAAAAAAGTATTATATATCCCTTAGTTAAAAAATACTTTATTGTGGGGCTGGCCTGGTGGTGCAGTGGTTAAGTTTGCATGTTCCGCTTTGGTGGCCCAGGGTTTGCCAGTTTGGACCCCGGGTGCGGACCCACACACCACCCATTGAGCCATGCTGTGGCAGGCGTCCTACATATAAAGTAGAGGAAGATGGGCACGGATATTAGCTCAGGGCCAGCCTTCCTCAGCAAAAAGAAGAGGACTGGCAGAAGATGTTAGCTCAGGGCCAATCTTCCTCAAAAAAAAACAAAAAACTTTATTGCTAAAAAATGCTAAACATCAACTGAGCCTTCAGTGATTTATAATCTTTTTGCTGGTGGAGGGTCTTGTAAAAAATGCAATATCTGCAAAGTACAATAAAACAATGTGCAATTAAACAAGGCACACCTGTATATATCATAATTGTATTGGTTGAATTTGGATCAACCATTTTATTATTTGTTTTTTCTTTGTTTTATTTTTCATTCATTTCTTCTCCCTTTCCAGCATTCTTTTGATTATTTCTATCGTGTTGGTGATTACCCTAGAAACTACATGTATCCTTGATCCCTCAAAAATCGTATTAATCAATACCTTTACTGTAGTTTCCTTCTGCCTAAAGAACACTCTGCAGAGTTTCCTTTAGTGCTGATCTGCTGTGGCACATGCTCTCAATTTTGTGTTTACCTGAAATTGTCTTCATTTTGCCTTCATTCTTAATGGATCTTTTTGCCGGGCAGAGATTTCTAGGATTGCAGTTTTCTTTCACAGTATATTGAAAATGTGATTCCACTCTTTTCTCACTTCCATAGTTGCTCAGAAGTAAGCTATTAGTCTAACTCAGCAGTCAGCAAATTGTGACCTCTGGATCAAATTGGGCCCAGCATGTGTTTTTGTAAAGTTTTAATGGAACATAGCCACAACCATTCATTTATATATTTATGTATTCTCTATGGTTGCTTTTGTGCTACAATGGCAGAATTGAGTGGTTAAACAGAGATCATATGGTATTGGCATAAAGACAAATAGACCAATGGACTAGAATAGAGAGACCCAGAAATAAACCCTCACATATAGGATCAGATGGACGATTTTTGGCAAGGATGCCAAGACCATTCAATGGGGAAAGGATAGACTTTTCAACAAATGGCGCTGGTAAACTGGATATCCACATGCAAAAGAATGAAGTTGGACCCTTATCGTATGCCATATCCAAAAATTAACTCAAAATGGATTAAAGACCTCAATGTAAGACGTAAAACTATAAAATACCTGGAGGAAAACACAGTGGGAAAATTTCATGGCATTGGACTTGGCAATGATTTCTTGGATATGACACTAACAGCATAGGGAACAAAAGCAAAAATAGACAAATGGCACCCTGTCAAACTTAAAAATTTCTGTGCATCAAAAGACACAATCAACAAAGTGATTTTGAGTAAAATATTAGCTCCATTAATTACTGTGTGACCTTGAACAAGTTACTTATTCTCTCCAAGCCTAAGTTTCCTGATCTTTAAAATGATGACAATAGCAATTTCATCAAGATTGTTGTATGGCATAAAAATAAGTATGCAGTAAATATTAGTTCCTGTCCTTTTCTAAATTGCCTTCAAAGTCTATGCCATTGTTTTAAACATCTTCAGTGGTGAGAAGTCTTAATCTTTGATCATGATTGAATCACATACTCAACTAAAAGTTTTAGACTGTTAAAACTAAATTTAATGAATAAGATGAGTGATCAAGATAGTTTTTACTCTGAAAGGTGTTTTGCAGAAAGAACCCTATGAGTCTGAGCAACATCTTGATCACATCACTACTAGTTTACTTTTTGGAGAAATTCTCACAAAAGTTCTCAACATTTTTCAAATTTTATAAGTTACAATGATTGTTTGACCCGACTGATTATTTCTACCTGAACTGCATGCCACTGACATGCACATAATTTGAGAATATTAAAGTTGTCCACTGGACACTTTGATGACTTGCTTTTGGATCATATAAGAAACATGTTTTATTAGATATCACTATTGTCTTTAAAAAATGATTTTGTCCAATTTCCCTAGAAAGAGTAGAACCAACTATATGTGCCAAAACAATCACTAATTCTGGGCTCCTACAAACCACAAGAAAAACAATCCCATTGATACAGAGTCATACTTTACAGCATCTTTATAACGAGCTCAGGATAATGTCTTTAATGTCCATCTAATTTTTTCCTGCCACAATGTAAGTACATTCCCTCTTGTCCCATAGTCTGTTAATAAGAGAACAAGCACATCTATAATTACAAAGTCTTTGGCATCTGAAGCAGTTATTAAGTGACCCTTCATCTTTGCCTTCTCCAAATTAACCCAAATACTTTTGCTTTTACTTAATATGTTCTATCTTTTCCAAAACCCAAATTCTTACATGCAATATTAGGAAAATAACTTTTACATACTTTACAAGGATAATTAAGAAAAAACATAGAGTTAAAATTACAGTTATGTAAAACAGCAATATGATAAGTATAATACAATTACGAATAATAAATGAAAACCCAGAAAAACTGTTGTTCATATATTAGTTCTACACCACGGTTCTACTTCTAGCATTCCAGAGCACAGTAATCCTTACCAGGGGACTTTCCTTGCTGTGAGTTGCTTCTTCGCTCTCTGTATCTGGCTGGAGTGGATAAACCTGTGTCTTTACTAGGCTTGCTAGCAGGCCCCATTTCTGAAATTAGGAATCCCATCTGTTCTGAAGGCAAGATATTCTCAGGTGGATTGGTCTGGCATTTTATACTGGCATCCACCTAAAATATTAAACCCACTCATTATTCTGAATTTCCCCAAAATATCTACTAAAAGTTAAGATATTTTATGAGAGGAGTTCTATTATAGAAACATGATCTAACAAACATGCTTGTAAGGCTTTTCATCCTTATGAATGATACTATCTTTGATTTTGCTGAGCTAATCTCTATATTTGGTAGTAAGATGTATATATCCCCATATGCAAACCATTGAAATGTACATGGAGCTAAAACATTTACTTATGATCAGAGGAAGATTCACCATGAAGCTTGGTGATTTTTTTTTCTTTTGGTAAAATTCACACACAGAAAAATTTACAATTGGTTAGACCCCTATCTTCTTCCACTCCAACATCCCTTCCACCAGATTTCCCCTCCTGCTGGTGATATTGGAATGGCCATAGGCCATCCTGTTGGATGATGTCAGTGGGGCTGTGGACACTTTATTCTACTAATTTTGTATTCTTTGTCTTAAAAAGACCATCAAAATTGCATAACTACAGCCTTATAAAACCATATCTGCCCTGCTTATGAGATATGAGTTTCTTTCTTGAAGTTCCTAAGTTTCCTTTGGAATGTCAAATCCCTTCAACAAGGTGACCAACTTCTGAAATACCCTATTTCTTGATGAATTTATTTTAAAATACACTATATAATAAAATAAAGCTAGAAGTTAAAAACATAGCTTTCAAAAGTTGTGATGTTCAAATATATTTTTTAAAGACTAAGTAATCGTGTGAATGCAATTTTAAGGTATGAAATTGAATGTTTTGGATGTGACTCTGAAGGAACAAATTCAAATTCTATGTTCCTTTCAGAAGCTTATTTGACACATAACAGGTCTATCTTTGGGTCTATTGAATTTATAATATTATTTTAACATATAATATACTGGTTCTTTAACAGTTGGTCTCAAAAAGAAAATGAGGTGACAGAAACCTTAAGACATTAGGATCTAAAATTAGTGCCAAAAAAGAATGCATTAAAAAGAAAACTGCCAAAAAGTTATCTTCTGGATCTCTAACAATAAAGATATTTTCAGTTCCATTAGAGAAAAAAAATCCAAAATGAAAAAATATATGTATCAGACTAAGATCAAGAAAAAAAATTAAAAGTAGACAAAAAATACTTATCAATTCACAAAAAGTGATTTTAATTTGGATGCACTTTTATTCAGAATCAAAGTTTATTCATTTTCTGGTCATAAACTATCAGCAATAAAGGAATTATTCTCTACCTTCAGAATACATCTCTCAAACTAGAGTCAGAGTTCTGCTTTAGGAATGCAGCCATTAGTAAGAAAATTCAATCACAGCATGCTCACAAGTCAAATTAGAATTCAATAATGCTCTAAGAAAGTAAGAAAAGACCTCCAACCATCTCCTTACGTCCATGCCACAAACGGCTAGAAAAGTCCTGATGTTATCTGGGAGATAAACCACCCCTCCTGAGTAGTGGAATTTAATCAGCTAGGCACACCCAGTCCATCCAAATTAAGACAGGAGGGATGCTCACGGGATGCTTTTAACATGAAAATAAGTCTTACACCACAATGCTCAGACTGCCTCTCTAGAGGTTGACTTCAGACAGTAACGTAATGAAAGGATGCCTGGGAGTTAACGTTACCTCTTTCTGAATCTTTTGTGCAGAACCACTGGAGCATGAACCTTCTGGAAAGCATAATGAACTGGTATTAAACCCAAATAAAATCTGGACAAACTCGCCACTAGAACAGTCTTTAGCAAGAAGCACTATGTACTTTGAGCTTTATTAGGATTTTTTTCTTTGCCCCTTACCTGGTGTGTGCTGAACGGTAGCCCTTCCTGCACAAATACTACTGAAGTTGGAGATGGATTATGACTTAGCTGCTCCTTCAATTTGACACGAGCTTGTTGGATACCTGCAGATTCCTGCATTGTAGTATTTTCAACAGGCTGAGCTGTGTGGATGGTATAGATGTACTCAGGTGACTGTGGTAGAGAGCAGGTAATTGCTTGTTCTGTTCCGACCACAAAAGACGTAATATCTGAGCCTACAGGAGTAAGTGGCTCCAGCTGGCTAGCCTGACTTGTGGAAGATGGATTGCTGTTGTTTGAATTAGTTAGAATATGTTGGCCTCTGTTAGACTGAGATGTTGGGCACTGATTCTCAACAGGCTCCACCTTTACCATCTCCAATTTAGGGGAGGAATGCAATTCATCTACTATCTGAAAAACAGCCTCTAGGTTTACTTCTGTCTTTTTATTTTCATCAGTAGCACTGCAAGGCCAATTAGAAGGCAGAAATTCAACTGGATAGGAGGATTGCATTGGAGGATTCTGGGAAAAGAGAAAATAGGACTGTTTGGATAGAAAACCAAATATGAGATTAAGGAGGAAAGCAACAACATTTAGGCTGATGAACACTAAACATAAATAGATTAAACTTAAAGTTCACTAAAAAAACTTGAAAGCCAATCAACTTTTCAGCAGTGGTAGCTTCAATTCCATCGTTAACATTTACTTAGCAACTATTACATGTCAACCTCTATGCTAAGTTTAACACTGGAATGGACCAATAATTCTCAGGGTTAAAGTATACAAAATCAAAAAGCTATAGTACCCAAATAGCTATTTGCTGAGAAAATGTCTATATACCACATTCTTCCATAAAGGTTGACAGACAAAAACATCACTTGTATCTATCATAGACTGTTTTAGGAATGTAGTAAGGAAATTTCAAACACAGGATGCTCACAAGTCCACCAATGCTTCTATAGATTCAGGGGGAGGTACTGATATTCTGTTCCAAATGATCTGGGAAAAAATGGATGGAATATGGAATGTCCTTTGGTTCCTGAGATTGTTTCTTTTTAATAATAAAACAATAGGTTTAAAATAGCTGTCACTTTTAAATTGATACTTTAAGATGTATTTTCTTATACATAGTACTTTGCACAGAGTAGACACTCAATTACGTGTTTTGTGATCAATGATCTCAGGCTACGAATATAAAATACTGAAAAGTAATGATTAAATAAAACATGTAATGAGTTGATGCTGCCAAATGCAGAGCTTTGCACAGAGTAGGCATTCAGTAAATGTTTGTTGATTATCTCAGATTATAAACATAAAATACAGAAGAGTTATGATTCAATAAAACACGTAGTGAGTTGATGTTGCCAAACACACTACAAAGATTGTGTCAATATTCTGAAGGACACTAACGCCAAACAATGTAAATTCAAATGGTTTAAGCATCAAGCTACTTTACCATAGCACCATTTATTGAGTTCTTACCACGTGCCAAGCACATGTAAAGTGTTTTACACACATTATTTCATTTATTCCTCATAAGAGGCCTACAAAATGTGATAATCTCCATTTCCACATGAAGAAACTGCAGTTCAAAGAAACTTCATAATTTATGCCAAGTCGTGATGAAATAACTGACAGAGTCAGGTTTCAAACCCAGGTTTGCCCGACTCCAGAGTTCTTCTCTTCACCATCACAATACACTGACCATCCATGCACACTCTCACCAACACCTACAGCGCAACTAAACTAAACTGCATTTATTTCCAGAATGGCATCTGAAATACTTTCACTTTTTTCCCACTTTAAAATTTTATGTCTACTTATCTCTATTTTCCTATAATGAACATGTTTTGTCTTTGTAGTAAGGAAAGGTCTTTAAAGATGTTTTAAATGATTTATTTAAAACATAAACATAATCAAGATATAAATACTGTCTGAGTACCTCCAGTATGATCCAGGTGAGAGAGTGTCTGGATCCACAAACGAGAGCACCTAATCTGTGGGATAGATGTGTCCCCCTAGTGAAGATGAACAGACTGCACTATCATGCTTGATGATATCTGCCACTAAAAATCCTGGGCGCGGACATGTCCCCTTGCTCTGAATCTGTACTCTTCAAACAACCATCTGATCATCATTTGACTTTCTATATAGATTTTCTCAAAAAAAAAAAGGAACATTATTTTGAGTATTGGAATACCACTAGTAAGATATTCTTTTATGAACAGAAATCATTTACATGGTATCAGAGGCAAACCATAATTCCAATCTTTAAACAATCATAGCGTAAAAACACAAAGCATGGAATTTAATCTTATCCTAGAAATAGCAGTTTGAAACATTAAATCAAAGCAACTGTTTCCTAATAAATAATGAGAAGATAATAGAAGTACAGGGTTCACAACATGGGGGCTAAAGGGAACCACCCCTTAAATTTCTCATTTTTGATATCACTTTTCCTTTAAAAAAAATAGTAATTATCTGTCATTGGGTGACTTACATACTTTTGGAGTTCATCTGGTATTAATTTTACCATGGAAGAGCCTAGAACAGCACTGTTCAAACTAACATTCAGCAATGATGGAAATGTTCTCTATCTGTGCTGTCCAATTTGGTACCACTAGCCATATGAGCTTATAGAGCACTTGAAATGTGGCTAGTATGACTGAGAAATGAACTTTAAATTTTATTTTAATTAAATTTAAATAGCCACACATGTCTAGTGCCTATTGTATTGGACAGTGCAGGCCTAGAAGAATCCTCAGACATCATTTATATCAACTCTCTTTCTTTAGAATTGAGAAAACTGAGGGCATAATCCACAGTTCACTTCTGGCTACTCATTAATAAAAAATTATATTTTGAAATTCTTCAAGGCCAATAATATTGCACCTGATGCACAGAGTATGTCCATTGTTCTAAGACTCTTACCTGGAAGTAGTTGCAGTGTGCATAGGAGGAGGCAGTGGGAGTGACACAACTACTGAGAGCATCCATGTGGGTAGAAGGAGAGCAGCACTGTAGCACAGCTGGAACAAATTCAAACATAGAAAAGTCATCAACCAAAATAAACCTCTACAGCATTCAAGACTCTCCCCTCTTTCAACTTAGAAAGAAAAATTCCAAGAGCTTCCCTTTGTGGGTGCAAGAAAATGACTTTAGTCCAATTAGATGCTTTAGTCCAAATAATAGATGCTATTATTTGTTGAAAACAACAGGGTAATAATTTTAAGTCATTTAAGAGGGTCACGTTTACTTTTAGAAATGATTTCTTTAGCACCTAACCATTGTTACCTTTCCTTTTTTTAAAAAGATTTTATTTTTCCTTTTTCTCCCAAAGCCCCCGGGTACATAGTTGTGTATTTTTAGTTATGGGTCCTTCTAGTTGTGGCATGTGGGATGCCGCCTCAGTGTGGCCTGATGAGCGGTGCCATGTCCGCGCCCAGGATTTGAGCCAGCGAAACCCTGGGCCGCTGCAGTGGAGCGCACGAACTTAACCCCTCGGCCACGGGGCTGGCCCCCCATTGTTACCTTTCTAACCAAACATTTATTCTTATTGAAAGTAATTTCCTTTTGCAGAAAATATCAGAACAAATTCGGAATTCCAAAAAAATTGTTTCAATCATTTTAATAGTAACAAACATTTGGAGGAGGCTGTGTTTTGGGATAAAATAAGTATGAAATACTCTCCAAACATTCCTACCATTACACAATGCGTCCAGTGAAACCTGTGCAAAAAATGTTTTAACTAAGTGGTTAGGCGTTCAGATCCTAGAGCCAGACTACCTGGCTTTGGAGCCCAGATGCAAAATTTTAATAGCTGTGTATAAACCTAAGCAAGGTTAAGCGATTTGGGCCGCAGTTTCTGCATTGTATTAGAATGGAAATAACAGTACCTCCTTAATATGTTTGTTGTGAGGAATGAATGAGTTAATATGCATAAAAGCACTCAGAATAGTACTGGCATACAGTAAGCAATCAATACATAAATAGCTACCATGCTATTATTTTAACTAACAAAGAAATACATTTTCCAAACTTTATAGTTAGGATACAATGAAAAGATAGAACTCTTTGTACTGGGATAGTTATACTCACAATGCAGTCTTAATAATAGGTTAACTCTCCTCTTTTCCAGAGACTCTCCAGACAAATGAGAATCCGTTATAACATCATACCTTTAGATTACACAGAGGGTGGTATATATCTAGCACCTACCATGTTCCAGGCACAGTACCAGGTGCTTTGCATATATTGCCTCATTCAATCCAAACAACAATTGAATGAAGTATTAACATAAAGCTCAGAGATGTTAAGATAATTTGCCAAAAAGTCACAAAGCTATTAGCAACAGAGGCAGTAAACAAACTCCAAAGCACATGTTCTTTAATAGACCCCAATACTTCCTTAATCCTTCCTTCTTCCTAAAACATCACATTTGAATTTTACTAGAACTCTATTTCCTGAGTATCTTTAAGGTGTCTTCATTACGAGGTGGCAACTTTCTCTTTTTATGTCCACATTTTTCATGTTTTGAGTGTGCTAACATATTAAATAATCTCATTCTGTAATCCTTTGAAAGCAAACTAGCCTAAAGATTGTAAAAATTCACTGAAATACTTCCCTATTTCTCCATTGACTACTGATTTTTAAAACGGCAGAGGTTCATAAAGGTATACTAGAAATAAAGATTTTCTTATTATATCATGTGCAATTTAAGGCATTAAATTTTCCACATGGAAGGAAAAATGAGAAATAGTGGACAGAATTATAGTTCAGATACAAAGATAAGGCTTGGTGTTTTCTGAATTATATCATTTTAATATTCCAGTGACTAAAAAAGCCAGATATTACTAAGATGGCAACATAAAATTCAAGCTCTTGTCACTTCCAATATAGGTTAGGCAAACAAGTGCTTACACTTTATCCTTGCAGATTATTCAAATATACTATTAAAATGTCTTGGATTTGAATTTGGTTCACAAATATCCTGGGAAATAAGCTAAATCCAAAAAGCAAAACACCAAAATGGGGTCTGCAGGGTTTGCCAAAACTCTGAAAAAAAAACTAGGACTTTTTTCTAGAGTTTTAACAGCTAAGGAAAACCTAGCCCCCTAGCGGCAGGAAAAGTCTGTCAGGAGCTGCAGGTTTTCACCCATCAGGGCACTATAAAACAGTGTTTTATTACAAATAAATCACCGAAAGGTATTAGCTTTATTTTTCTGATACGGCTATGTTCTGACTTCACTGGGTATACATTTTGAATAGTTGGTAAAAACAACAGAGAATGTATTAATGTATAGTCAATAGCTGATTTGGTATCTAAGGAAATAGCAAAATAGTGAACATCCTTTAAAGAGTCCAGTAACATATGGAAAGTAGAAAGGTACCTGCATGAAGAAAGGGAGGACTTGAACAGATAATCCAAAAAGATTCCTCAATGGCTATTTCCTTACCAGTGCAGTCCTACTTTGTACAGTCAACAAAATAGAATAAAGCCAGCATTAGTGAGCTTACTGAATATGAAAACCTGGCTGGTGTGTATTATGAAAGCTTTGTGAGAGCACTAACATTTATAAAACAGTTTATCACCACATCCTAAGACACATTCATCTGCGTACAGATTTTCCAGTGTCTTCCTGAAGGCAGTGTTCACTTAAGGTATTAAATTGCATGTAGAATAAAAATTATGGACAGAATTCTATTTCAGATATAAATATGAGTTGATATTTTTAAAAACAATTCTGGTAATCAAAAAATACAGGATTACTAAACATTATCTCAAGGTAAAAATTTTCATTTCCACTACAGATTAGGAAAACAAGTTCACACACTTAATCCTGTGGAGGTAATATAAATATATAATTTAAATGTTTTGGACTTGAATCTACTCCAGAGTAGTACAGTGTCAACAGTGAGAAGATGCCCAATATAAATACTCAAAAGGGAAAACATCCTAATAGCAAATTTAATTTCAAGATAAGTTACTGTAGCAACTAGAACCCCAACATCTCTTCATGTATAGCGAGGTAAAGAAAAGATCTTCTGAATGTATACACCCAAAAAGCAAAAGCAGAACAGATATTTGTGCATCCACGTTCAGAGCAGTATTATTCACAATAATCTAAAGGTGGAAGCAACCCAGTGTCTATCAACAGGTGAATGGATAAACCAAATGTGGTACATACATACAGTAGAAAATTATTCAGCATTAAGAAGAAAATTTTGACACATGCTGCACTATCAATGAACCTTGAAGATATTACGCTAAGTGAAATAAGCCAATCAATAAAGGATAAATATTGTATAATTCTTCTTATATGAGGTTCTACAGTCGTCAAATTCCTCGAGACAGAAAGTAGAATTGTGGTTGCCAGGAGCTGGGGGGAAAGGGGAATGTGAAGTTAGTGCTTAATGGGTACGGAGTTTCAGTTGGGGAAGATGAAAAAGTTCTGGAGACAAATGGTGGTGATGCCAGTACAATGTGAATGTATTTAATACCACAGAACTGTACACTTAAAAATGGTTAAAATGGTAAAGTCTATGTTATACATATTTCACCTCAACAAAAACAAAGGCAAATATAATTTTGCTTTTGCGGAGTTTCTTCTGGTAGCTAAAGAAAATTCCTGGTGTATCTATGCCAAACCCCTCTTTCCATAAGAACAAAATCAAGCCTTTTCAGAGAAACTGACAAAACAGGCTACTTGAGCACAAGAGTAACAGCATTTGAAAGCTCTTATAAATCCAGATCCTATATTTGTTTATGTACATTATGTAGGATTAGAAGCCTAAAGATCAAACCTTTAGAATTTAAATGTACCTTAAAACAATAATAAGCAATCCTTTTGGCCTGAGTCAATTCAGAAAAATTGTTAAATGATACTATATTTTTCAGTAAAAAATAAAAATACCATATGTTACCTTGGGGGGAAGTGTATATTCTTACAAATTATTTAGCCTTTCAAGTGTTATATCTAGGCTCATTTGTAAGACAGCTTTTAAAATATTTTATCTTTTATATGTAAATAGTGTTAAATTTTATAAAGTCCATTGACATACATTAATTCATTTAATCCTTTACCCAAACTATTATCATCACTTTATAGAAAGAGAAATTGAGGCTGAGTAACATGAAATAATCCACCGAAGGTCACGTCAGATGATTAACTGCAAAGCTGAGACTAAAATTATTTCATTCTATTCAATAAATTGTTTCCTAAGGGCCCATCAGAGCCAAGAAGTATGCTAGGTGTAGGGGGATGCAGAAATGAATGAGAGGCAGCCCCACTCCTCGGAGGCTCCAGCTGAACCTCCCCCTCCAGCAGCTGGAGCATGTTGAGTCAATAACCCAGGGCAGTCCCACTCCCTCCAGCAACACAGAATGGTAGGCCCCTCCACCAATCTCTGTTGTCTGCTCTATCTGGGAATAACTAACTCTGGGGAAGAGATATACCAGGAAAGAGTCTCTCAAAAGAAAAACAAAACAAAACAAAAAGTCCCTCTTTGTACGAGAGGCAGGCAGGCAGCAGAGCACAGTGGCCAAAATAAACGACACGCATCAGTTTGTCTGGGTCTGTTCCCTAGGCCTGCCTTGGTTGCCTAATCTATAAAATAAGAAAAATTACATCCTCTATCTTATAATGTGAGGATTAAATGAATTAATATTTGAAAAGTACTCAGGACAGATCACAGTGATTGCTATATAAATATTTGTTAAATAAAATATGAGATGAAGGACAGCTACAAATTGCTAATCATTGCTTTGAGCTTAAAATGTAACTAAAAAAAGGCAAAGTAGATTTTGAGTCAATTCAGCATTATAACATTAGTCAAAAGAAAACAATTCCTCAATACAGTACTCTTTATATACATGAATATGAATATATGAATATTCTTATGTATGTTCAGACATAGAGAATGAATACAACAAAAAAGTCTAAAATGAATTTTTTCATAAAAAAGGGAAATTACTTATAGGAGCATACTGCAAAAATAATATCAAAGGAAAACAACTGAATTCAAGATAAGGCAAGACTAAAGAGTCAACTAATACTGGATCTATAACATTTTGTCCTTGAAGGAATGATAAGAATGGAAAAAATGTAAATGAGCTAGGCAGTGAAAGGAAAGAAATGATTCAGATGAGTCATTTTATGAGTCATTCTGATAACAATTTTTTAGTCTCAATGTTTGGCTCTACTAGAGAATTAGTAATTTATGAAATACTACAAAATTCAAAATTTACTGGGTTTATTATTTGAAGGCCAGAACCAAGTTTATTTTCAATATAACTAATTTTTAAATAAAGCCCGGTGTTGTTTTTTACTAAAATTTGATCCACACCTCAACTCACAGAGTTCACTTTGAAAGGATTCCAGTATGACCATTATTCTAAAATGAGGTACTTTCTTAAGACTTAGAGAACCTGATTTGGGAACGATTATCACCCTGCCTCTGAGAATGGTATTTTATTTAACTTTGGGAAAGTCATTTGCAATGCTCTTCATAAACAGGTACTCACTTAATATTGGTTAAACTGCTCACTACATTTTGCTTTCTTCACCTAAAATTTGGAGAAATCAAGTACTTGTACAGTATTTTTATGGCACTTTCTTTCCATATCAGGTCTTTTGTATTTAACAATATAACTTTTTGTTTATATAGTACTTCAGAATGTTCAAAGCAGAAACACTCTATGTTTCAAAAGTCATCACGCGATTTCTTATTCTCATAACCTCAGAAACTATAGTCATTTCAATTATCTCTATTAAAGAAAACAAAAATTCAGGTAACACAAGACTCTATTTCACATGCACTGTACATTATCAAAACATCAGCAGCACTTACTTGTTCTTTTAATGTCTCTTTCCTAGTCCTTACCTTGAACTCTTGGAGACAGCTTCCAATTTATAAATTCACATCCAAGCTAAGATAAAATATTTTTAAAACAACATATCCTAAATCACAATAACTTAACAAACTATTTCTATAACGAATGAATAATATTAACTATTTGTAGTGTTTCCTGGTACACAATACAGAAACGGTTCTCATGAAACTTAGAACTAGAAGTTTCCAAGAGGATTGTTTTGACCGTGGAATACGTTTTCCCATAGAAACAATATTCTACAGGCTAGTTTGGCTCCTAAACTAGACTGTAACCATCTGTACCTTAAGTGTAAGACAAACAGTAATACAGAACCTAACCAACAGATTTAATACGTCCATAGGAAAATGCCTCCAAAATTCCAAAATGGAAGGCCAAGCACATTTCTACATCTCTCTGCTGCAGTCCTTGCAAATTTCAACTAAAGCTTTTGAGTCTTTAGTAGTTTGAGGAGGGGGGTTAGGAAAGGAAAGAGAAAGGTTTATTGGTAAGAGGAGGCAAGGTAGGGGTTTTGTCCAGTTGATAGGCTACAGAATGTAAAGCAAGTATAAGGAAGACACAGACTGTCTCTCCCTATATATGTATATTCTATATACATGAAATGCAGCCAGAATTACAATATAGATAGCAATGCCTAATTTGTTTATTAAAATATTGGACTAAACTCCTCATTCATAAAAATCTGACCCTATTTGTTGCTATACATAAGACATATAACATGAAATTAGTCATCTTCTATTTTTAAAGATCACACAGATATTTTTGTTCTTCAAAGTAGGTGAAAATCTGGAAAAATACTAGGCCTCTCAAAAGCTGGAAAAATCCAGCTTTTTCTTTTTCTCAACCTTTTTTTTACCTTATTAGAAGATAGAAAAATTTTTTTACATTCTAATAGGCAAAATGATTAAAAATGCTAAACCATCCTTACTCCATATAATTCCTTCCTCTTTTCCAACTCCATCCACCAAAACAGTAGCAGTTCTAAAATCTAAAAGATCCAATCTAATTTGAACTCTGGTTTTATTATTTTAATATTATTAAACCTATATGCTTTGGGAAAATAAGGCAATCCCTTTTACTGCTATATTTAGGTAGAATGCAATGAGTCAATAGTAAAAGAATACATTTGGATGTTACAAGCAGAAAATAGTGAATACTGTTACAAATAGAACAGTTACCAGATTTACAACTTTTACAACAAATTCTTTAATTCCTTTATCAAATTTACATTCCTTCTACTTATTTTAGCTTTTGATTCCATCCCGCCTGGGAGAAATGGTCTAACAAAATACCTCTAGAGATTTGCTTCCGTATCGACATAGCTGAGAAAATTAATATTCCAAGAGTCTTAATTCGTAGGGCAAAGGAATGCCCCTTTCTTCTCTCTCTGGTTTTTCCTGAAAGCCTTGACCCTTGCCTTATTTCTCCTGCCCCATTTCATCACTCTGTGTAAAGCACAGTACATGATGAAACACACACCACCGCTATGGTGCTTCTGCAAAGTAGAAAATACATTTGAACGAAATGGTGAGGCTATTATCTTGCAAAAAATGTATTCCTCTGCAAAAAAAAGACACACACACACCCCCACCTGAGAAGCTAAACAGATGGTCACTATCATAAGGATGCCCAATTAATGGCTTGAGATCTACCAATACGTCTTCTAATGCCCTTGGCTGAGCTCTAGGTCAGCTGTCATTGCCAGGTTCTCCTTCTCTCTGCTACTACTCAGGGACTGCACTGTCAAACCACACCATCACATTTTCACTAAAAGAATATAATTTAGCTTTAAATGATGAGAGTATGCTCTTTTATTAAACTTCATTACTGACATACTAAAATGATTTCATTATGAGGTAATCTCACCAATAAAGGTAAAAAATATATATATATATAGGTATATAAACATTTAAAAAAAAAAAAAAAACTACTGCACCAGAGCAGAGTTATGGCAGGGTTCTGGTGTACTAAGTCTTAATTTTATTACTAGGACATGCTTTGAAGATACAAAAGTTTCACTAAAAATATACATCTTTATGCACCAACAGAATTTTCACAATCCTTAAGAACACAATGAAATTTTATATATTGCTTACAAATAGGTCCTGATGAGAAAGCTTTGACATTTCTTAGGTGCATATTGCTATTTTTATTTAAGCATGGAGAAATGCATTAAAAATATAGAAATGCTCATTATAAAGTACCTTAAGAGAAGTCACTGAACTTGAATTTCTCATACCTGTTGGATAGTAGGCTTGGGAGTACTGCGCTGAGGGTGTGTAGTTACTATATTTTTGGGAGGAGCTGACCATTGTTTGAGGACTTTGCTGAACGTGTACGGATGTGGCGCTGGGCTGCAGGGTATAGGTAACCTCAGTTGGAAACCTCTGCAGTACAGGAAATGGAACCCCTTTATCTGAAAAAGTTGGAGGTGTTTCCACTTGTCCTGGGTGCATTCCAAGGGAGTTCTGCCATGTTCTAGGAGGAATCGAGGTCCGATCTAAACCTTTCAGAGGGAAAGTACTGTGGTTGTGGGATGAAGTTGATACGTAGGAGTAAGGAGACAAACCATCTCGCCGGAATGACCGGTGGAATTGTCCTACAGCCACTGGTCCTGCATAAAAGAGGAAGAACACATTTACTAATTTTACATTACACCGCTGGACGCAGCAAACCAAAAGTCGTAAAGTAAACTCTACTCTTCACCTATGAAGATGTTAGGTTCTCAGCCATTTTTAACACAACATAAAGGTAGTTTTGATAAAAACAAGTTAGGATACCAGAATATGAGATTACACATATAATGCTGAAAAAATAATTAAATAAACTTGTGTTTGGTTCTCAATATGACTGTCTTGAGAGACAAAGTGGCCAAACTCTAATGTTAAATCAAATATTCAATGTTAAAAGTCTTTTATAGATGATTCAGTCATCTTACCTTTTACCTCAATTGATTTACCCAGATTTTTCCAATCTGTAAGCTACTTCCTAGAAGTTTTAGAAATTCCATTCAGTTTTTCAAATCATTTAAGAATCTTAATAATAGGCATGAAAATAAGCACTCAACCATACATAAAAGAAATGTGTGGAACAAATAAGAATTATGACACAAACCAAAAACAGATTCTTTGCTCTCTTTCTATTTTTTTCTTAATGACAATCTTTGTAGAAAAGTCAGACTTGAAAACTCTGACTTAGTTCTCTTCTTCATTACTCAAATCAATCAATAATTCTCTGTGGTCGTCTTTTCTTCAGTGTATCTCTAGCAGTGTCCCTCTCTAGATATCAGTGGCTCTCAAACATTGATTTACATCTCAATTACCTGGAGAGTTTGTTAAAAATTCACATACTTGGTCCCAGAGATTCTGATATTTGCTTTCTCTTATCTAGCAAGGCAGAAAGAAATTAAAAAGTGGAGATGAGGAAGAGAGAGAAAAGGGCAATACTATGTAATGAGGAAAAGGAAACTACAAATGTTGCAAGCTGGACTTATTTTACAGACTGTGGCTCTTGAATATAAAGAAAGCTAACCTAATTTATTCCTAGGGAGAACTTTATGTATTAAATTATGTGGCTCACAAATTCCTTTCAATTTGTTTTATTAAACTAATCCAGAGGAGAAAGTCTAATTTATGTGCTACTAATCTGTTAAACTACAAAATGAAAGACGGCACTCAAACACCTACTTTCCCAAATATTTAAACTGTAAATCGATTCAACATGTTACACATCTTTCATTCTATTTCTATGGTGTTTAATTTCCTCTAAAGCATTAGGGAGTGCTCCTAACCACTTCCGGTTTGGCACTGCCTGATTCAAATCAATTTTTGCTCAAGCAAACTCTTAAAAATAAAAATTTTTAAAAAAGAATAAAGCACTAACATCACAAATAAACAAATCATACAAACATACATACACACATTCTGGAACCCTGGAAATCAAGAGCTTTAAATCTAATGGGAAAAAAATCTTAGTTCAGAAGATCGAATGTATTCAAATGATATATCTGTTAAAAACTACTCTTCCTTTTTTCCTTTAAAGTACAAAAAATCATTTTTATGCTACTTGACTAGCAATTCATACGTATCCACACTTTGAACTCACCACTGACAATCCTTTGTTTTAAGATCTAAAGAAACATTTTTTGGTTTTCACAACAGGTGTCTCTGAGGTCCCAAACTACCCACCACTTCATTTTTCCCTGGATGCTTTACATGCTAAAACTACATATTGCTATGGCGTGCAAGAGCTCACTCACTAATCCTTCTTCTTCCCTCTACTGGGTTAAGCTGTGGATGAATTTTCAGATTGTTAATAACTTAAGCATCTAATTAAAGAATTCTCTACCTTGGTTTCTCAAATCTGGTTTATATCTGGTTTAAAATATAAATTCTACTTCTATCATGATAACCTCTGACTGATGGCCAAACATTTACACACTTTATGCTAACATAAGAACACTGTTAGGACTCGAAGGGCATTCCTTTAAATTTGTATTTTAAAATAAAAAACTAAAATATGTTCAACTCTTATTTATTCTTCTGATTAAGAGTTACCTCATAAGGTTCTATTCTGACCAATTTTACAGAACATCACCGGTATGTCTTCAGAACATCTTTAAGATGTATTTGGCAAAGTTTAAACCCAGAACTCTGGAAATGTAAGGCAGGATGGCTTCCTGTTTTTAAAGATTCTACTCCTTTTATATAAGCGAATCGGAGCTAATCAATCCCCAGGAAAGAACTTGCCTCTTGCCCAAAACTTGCCACTTGAGAACTTGGTATCCCCAGGCAAAGAGAGATTATCTACTGCTCAGACTTGTTACTTAGTTTAGAAAGTTTTAACAAATGTCGTAAAATAAATTGCTACTAAAAACAAAATAACAAAAGTGGACAAACAAAAAAAGGGAAAACATGTGATCCTTACATTTCTTACCAAGTACATTCTCGAAACGTGAACAAGACAGCTGGCTCAATGGATCTAGATAAGAGAACTACGTCCTAAAACAGAAGATTCTACTGTAAAAGAGACAGAAGTATTCAAACCTTAAGCTGAAGTAGAACACAGAAAACAAAATGGAAACTACGAAGCAGCAGCGTAGTCTGGCCTATCACCAAGGCAAGATGCAAGCAGAATAAAAATTGAGGAAAAACAGGAGATCCCAGGATTTAGAACACGGAATTAAAGCAAACAAAATTGGGCCAGTATTCTTGAACTTAAAATTGCACTCCACCCAAACCAGTAACACAATTCCCTAGTGAACCAAGCCTACGGTGTAGACAATCCACACCTGACACACCTCCTACATATACCAATAGGTAGAACGGCAAAAAACAGGACATGCATGAAAACTACAATAATCTAGGTATCTATAGATTAATGTATTATGTATACTGAAAAAGTATGAATTAGATTTACAATATTTTAATAAATAATCTTTAAAATGCTGACCAACTGAACTATCAATGAAGAAAATCAGAACCTAGATAACCCCTGTATTTCCTTTATTAAAATGGACTGTGTCCTTAGAACACAACTGGGTTTAAGATAGGTGAAGGAAAAAGAAAATCAGAGAAGGGAAAAAAGCGAGCAAGAGTTGATTTTTATGTATGCATATACGCATGTTTCTTTGTTTGAGGTGGTTATTCTATTTCCCCCAAGAACATATTTTCCAGTCTTTTCTCCTTATGCCCACCAGATACACAACATGAAAAACAAATATCCATGTCAGAGATTCTGCCAAATATACGCCATGGTATTGTCTCCATTGCCTTTCCCCATTCGATTCCCCAGCATAATCAATGGTCATCCATCACACGGAAGTGGCTTAATATTCCTTTAGAATTCCTTTAGAACATTCCTATGCCACTGCTATTTTTCCAACTTGTTACTAGAACTCCAACCTAATCCCTTATCTTCTAAACTCCACAGAAACACAACCTAATCCCTTATCTTCTAAATTCCAAATGAACAAAGTGTTACTTCATTCCTAACCCTGGGCCTCGGTTAAAGTGAACATAGTGTTACTTTTATTTGTATATTTAAAAGGTTTCCCATAAAACTGAAAAAAAACCCAGACATTTTTCTGTTAAATCCATGTTAACATACTGAAAATGTTTCTATTACTCTCCTAGTTGAAGGCAAAGAACGAATTCTCATTATTATATCCTGTTGCTTTCTTCGTATATTGCTTCATATCATGGACTCTTTAAACAGAGAAAGGGAGTATTGCCGCCCTCACCTTCCTGGGAGGAGGGGAAGAACATCAGAAAGCAAGTTAATAAAATAATTTTCTATGACAGAGAGTTTTTCCACTTTTAGTAAATACAGATTTATACATACAAAGTTTTTTCAAAACTGAAATATCGTAGCCAATAGTGAAAAATTCAAAGGCTGTAAATGTGAACTAAAATTCTTAACTAAAACTTGACAGCTGTAAAGAAAATCATCTTTGCCTTATGTTTGTCTAACCATAACACCTTAAGAAGGCATCAGCTGTAATTAGCTACAGTGAAAGAAATGTTTAGCCAATTCATTCTATATAGGAACAATATCTGGTAAAAATAAAGAATATGATTATATTTTTGATCTTAAGATATATAAACAATGTCTGTCATTCTACACATTACTTGGAACCTAAAACATGATTATTGTCGGGACACTTCTTCCGAGATTTCTTAGATGTGTCAATGGGTGGAAGGTGGCATGTCTCAAGGACAAACTTCCACTTCAGGTACCTTGTTCACTTTCCTTTGGTTGGTAGACACTTCCTAAGTTTTCTTCGCTGTGACTGTGTTCCTTCCTACCTTGACCTTCACCACGTTCTCACTCCCTATGGTAACTCTGTTCTGCTGCCCATTAGGGCAAAGGAGACTCTTCTGTGCTTCCTCCAGACCCAGCGCTTCGACAGAGAGCTACTTACTCTAGATGTTCCAAGCGGAGACACTGGGTCTCAAGGAGGCAATGGCTATGGAGGCTTGGAGCTCAGGAAGGGCCCGGGAAGAACAGAAAGGAAGCTGATGAAGGTCCCTTTGGCTGCTCGTGCACATGGAAGGAACTAAGTGCTTATGGACTCTTTCCAGAGGAGGTACTGGCGGAAAGGGGGTGCCGGTGCCAGTGAGAACCATGGGGGTGACGCGAGCTATTTCCCGGGCAGCACGTGGGGCCCGGGCGTACTCCGGATCCCTCAAAGGTGAGGAGGTGCGACAATGCCCTGTGAATGGCGTTTGCTCCCTGACGCCCATGTGCCCTGTGATGGCGGGGGCCGTGGAGGCCCAGTGGGACTCACCGTGCGGCTCGGGCCTGGGCCCCGCGGGCGGCGGCGCCGGCTCCTGGTGCTGCAGCGGGGAGGTGCAGGCCGAGGCGGAGGCGGAGGCCGACGTGATGAGCAGCCTCTGGAAGCGGTTGGGCGGGCGGCAGGGCACCTCCAGGCCGGCCGCCAGCTTGGCCTTGTTGGCGCTGGTGAGCCTCTTGAGGTGCACGAGCAGTTGCGGCTGGTCGCGGCGGAAGTGCGGGCTGTGGAAGTGGTGGAGCGGCCCGTCGCCCGCCGGCCCGCCGCCCCCGGCCCCGGCCCGGGCCCCGCCGCGCCCGGCCCGCCCAGCACCACCTTGCGGAAGCCGTAGAGGTTGAGCTGGCGGATGAAGCTGGTGAAGTTGGTGGTTTTGAAGAGCTCGGGCTCAGCCCCGGAGCCCCCGACGCCGCCGCCGCCGCCGCCGGCCCCCGCCCCGGGCGGGCTGAGCAGCTCGGCCTCGAAGAGAGGCTGATCGATGAGCAGCCCCTCGCCGCGGCCGTCCCAGCGGATGGAGCGGTACCGGGGGCTGTTCACCAACCGCCACAGCTTGGCGGGGAAGTTGTTGGGGTTGATAGGGGTGGAGAGCAGCGCCTCCTCCATCGCCCCCGCCCGGGCCCTGGGCCTCGCCCCGCCGAGCCTGGCTCTCCCACCCCGTTCTCGATCCCCCCAGCCTTCGCTCGGCCCTGCCCCCTCCTGCCAGCGCCCGGCCGCCGCGGACCCGGGGACGGTTGGCGCACGAGCCCCCGCCTTGCCTTCCGGCGCGGCCAATGGGGCCTCGAGTTCCCGCCGCGCGGCCGGACGCAGCGCCAGCCGACCCGCCCCCTCGGCGCCGCGCGCCCGGCCCGCCCGACGCCGCGTCGCCTGGGCGTGTGCAGCGGCGCGGGACGCGGCGGGAGCCGGCCCGCTCCCCGGGCGCCTGCAACCGCCGGGCGAGGGCTGCGAGTGCTGCCCCCCGCCGGGAGAGAAGTCCTGCAAAGAGAGAAGGCCGATTATCCACCACGGAACACTAAGATCCCGGTAGCTCACCGCACCCAGCGTGTGGGACGTGGAATTCAGACAGGGAGTGATACGAAGCCAGTCGTTCCTGAGAACAAAGGGCCTAACTCCCGCAGTACTGACAGTTGACTTGCTCGCCTCTCCAAATAAAAATGGTGTTTACTAAAAAAATAAACATGTTTGAGTAAACAAATTCACCTTTTAGATGGTAGCATTTTATATATTTTTAAATATACCCTTTAAGCCAGTATTTTGCTCAGGACCGTTTACTCAAGGGATGAGAACTGAGGTGCCTATGAGGAGGGAATCAGGAGGATACAGGGACAAGCTGGGGAAACTTTAGACATAAAGAGAAATAAACCTCACACGAGAGGGGACAGAATTCTATAGTATCCATAAGGATAAGTCCCTATCTAATCAATAAAGAAGAATATGACAGGAGCTGTGCTGATAAAAACAGAGGGCTATTAAAAAAATGGAAACGGTTGGAAGGGGTGTAACGTTTTGGTTCTTGTTTATGGTAAAATGAGCATTGTTTTCTTAGAAATTAAAATCAATAAAAAGACCCAACAAAGCAGCACTAATATAGAGATTTTATTTAAACTGTATTGAGTTTTTACAGCACATTGCATGTTTGTCACAACGCAGCTGCACAGTTTGGATTTTTGGCCACATCATGTCACTTACACCCACAAGAGCTCTGAAAGGAGTATTTGATGAATGCATCTGAGCCTAGAGCCCAGAGACTCTCTCCAAGGCCATGCAGTATGTTCACTGATGGGACAGTCCCTCAAAACAGCCACACAAAGTAGACAGATACAGTCTCCTCAAATGTTACTAATCTTGCTCCCCCTGAAAATGGGCGGAGTGAAGTGCAGTGAAAGTCAAATTAATTAAAAAGCCACTCACAACTGGCAGTAAATTTTAATGATTGAGAAAATGCCTAGAAGAATTTTACATATCAGACAAGGAATAGTTTGTTACTTTTTCAATGATCTCAGGAATTTCCCAGACACAAAATCTTCATTATTCAACTCCATTTAAACGAAAAAAAGTTCTGCTAGGCTGACCTAAATATGCCAAAACTTTTTAGGTTACATCCATGGCAAGTATAAAAGCACAGATGATTCTCTGTAGGACTGAAGAAAAAGTCAGGACAAATAACAATTCTTGTTCTAAATGCAGATCCTAGTTATTTTCAAAAGAAAAAATTTTCTTCTAGGAAGTAACATGAAAGTAGCAGTTAGACAGACAGCTACCATAGTTTTAAAACAGGATAAGCCTAAGTGTAATTTACGTTTTATACACCAACGAATTAAGGAAAATGTATAAAGGAAATCCTAGTGGTTTCATTATAGGTCAAGGAGACTGTATCTGTTCCAACCATGACACACGGCTATATCGCTGTATCTTTTGGTTAAGTGCCACTGGTACATATTAAGATGAAAAAGAACAAAACAAAAAAAACAATGTTTGGTCCAAATGGACACATTTTCTCTCCCAATTTTGGTATCAAGGCTTTATTCTCTTCTGTTTGGGTTCCATTGTTAAGTGCACAGAAGTAGACAGCAGCATTTGTACTGAAACCCTCACATACCAAACAGCATATTCTAGGAGGTAAAAACCAAACACTAAATTCTACCCTCAGGGTGTCAAGTGTTCAGGATAAGAAGCAGTGTGACCCAGAGGAGGCAGCAGCCAGGGGAAAGACAACATGAGGGAAGTGGGCAATGGAACACATCAAAAAAAAAAACCCATTGTTTTATTTTCATGCCAGGAGAGGATCAAGGTATAGCTCCTGTGTTAGCACCAGGACAACTAGGAAAAGTCAGGCGCAAAGGGTAGGGCACAATCTGCAAAGATTTCACAAGGATCATTTCTGTTTTTCCCTTCTCATTCTTCACAGTGCATACCTCAAGAGCTGCCACTGAGTAACAGAGACTACTGCCTTCACACCTCAAAATAACTGACTTTTGCCAGGACTGAACATCAGCAGAGTTCTCCTCTGCTCCCAAAAATGTCTCACTCCCTAGAACTGTCCCCCTAAACTGAATATTCACTGATGCTGGCCGATGAGCCAAGTGAAAAATACAGCAAAAGCTCCACTTGCTGAACCAGTCTTTAAACCAAACTCCACAGAAAGACAGAACTAATGCAACTAGAGGGAGTGCCTCTAAAGACTGAGCCTTCATGCACAGACACAGAGCACAGAGGTACAGGGTAGAGTTCATTTCAGTAGGATAGGAATTCCTATCTTATATACTATAATCTGCTTTTTTCAAAGTGGAGGAGAGATGGATCTGGTTTTCACTTGGAGTTTGGTTATACATATGCCTTTCTATTGCTGTTTGGGGCACGCATCACCAGGCAGTATCTATGAAATCATCATCTTGTGACCCCCCAGGAGAAAGAAGCTGGAGTCACCAACTCAACATTAAGCTTCTCGACTCCGGGTCTGGACCAGGACCATTACCCCAAGGTGAGGGTCTCACCAGTAGAGGACCTCTTGCCAAATTGGAATTCCTCTGCTCCAGTCTCATGGTACCAAGGAGGATTTCTCAAGACGGTATCTTTGAGCTCTGTGATTTCATGAGCCACACCAAGGAACCTTCAAAACTACACCTGAAGCATATCCTCCCTTCAAACCTGCTAAAATTGAACAGGTCGTCTCCTCTGGCATTCAACTGGAAGCTGTAGCAATGGGTTTCTTCAGATGTTGGCTCATGAGTTCCCTGGCACGAGACACTTGGATGTGTTCGTAACATGAGTTACAGACGAGAACTGGGTCATAGAGTTGTTGATCAGGAATGGGCAACTTCAGGTGGCAGCAGGTAGCACAAAATACATTCCCACAATTTCTGCCAAAACACAAAGAGGGAAGAGTTCATCAGAAATGCCAAAATACTGAGAATGAATGACACTCCAAAAGGCCTTACATGAATGAGTAAATAAAAAAGTTGAGAGAAAACAAAAATAGTTCCTATAAATATGTCTCCATTTTCAGATTAATTCAATTTAGTTCATATATATGTACCTCATTGCTTTACAAGCCGTACCAAATCATATAAAACATCTTACCTGCAATGGTGTCTTCGTTTGGCCAACCAGAATTCACAGTCACAGTTATAGCAATGTGATGCCATATGGTCTGGAACCCAGCGAGTCACCTAACAGAAATCACAAGGGAAAATTCCAGGTCCTTGCCAATGAAGTGAAGAGCAACATTGCAAGAAGGAAAGCATCCCAGGAGAAAACAACAAGGCTTGTCTTTAGAGTGAGTTGGCGACTACTTGCCTACGAAGAAAACACTTATCTAGGGGGAGAGCTCAGTCTATAGCATGTCACCCATCTCTGAGAAATAGGAGAACTCACTGGCTCACAGAAGTTCCCACCACATATTTGCCTGGACATACCTCAGTCTCTTTCTTATCAACAGGTTCCCAGCTTGCTTCTGAGAGGCAGTCTTCACTGTGATCAGAACCAAAATCTTCTGTATCACTGCCATCTGACTCCTTCAAACATGTCTGAAGAAAAGGCAAAAACGTCAACATCATCTTCATCATCACTAACATTTGTTTCCTATGTGTCAAGCATTGTTCTAAGTGCATTACATGCGTGAACTTCTTTAATTCCTCATGACAATCTTATGATGTGTGCCGTTATCATCCCCATTTTACAAATAAGGAAACTAAGCCGCAGAGAAAGTTAAGAGCTGATAAGTAGTAAACCTGGGATTTGAACCTAGTGTTCTGGCTTCAGATCCATGCTCTTAACCAATATGCTATATCACAGCATGGAAAGAGTATTTCTCTTGTTACAATCTAAACCAGGGGTTCACAAACTACAGCCCACACGCCAAATCTAGCCCACTACCTGTTGTTGTAAATCAAATTTTAGTGGAAGACAGCCAGACTCCTTTATTCGCATATTGTCTATGGCTGGTTTTGTGCTACAACAGCAAAGCCGAGTGGCTGTGAGAGAGACTATACGTCTCACAAAGCCTAAAGTATTTACTATCCGGCCCTTTACCAAAAAAGTTTGCTGACTCCTGTTCTAAATCATCACCCCGAATAGTAAAAAGTTGTTAGCCCTGGCCATCCCATCCCAGCAAGTGGGCAGCAGGCAAGTGGGAATGTCTTAATAGGAGGACAGGAAGTGCTTATGTGGATGAAAGGATATTACTGTCAAGAAGCTGACTCCTAGAAGCTCCCCAGGGACTGCTGTGCCAGACCTGGGGCCTCCAACCACAGCGAAGCCTGGATGGTCCTCATCATCTCTCATCTAGGTTATTCCGAAACATCCTAACCAGCCTCCCAACCCGGGTTTCAACGGCCTCATCCTCTTGACACACTATTGCCAGAGCAATATTCTTAAAATACAAACCTGATCGTGTTACTCACTGGCCAAAAATTTTATTGCCTTGAGTGTAGAATCCAAACAAGAAGGGCACTCAAGCTGACCCTTACCTCCCACTGCAATACCCAACTCCCTCCCTCACGGTCCCAGCACGAGAGTATATGCACATGCACACACCCTACCTGCTTTGTGCAAGCCATTATGTTAGAGTACCTACTGCTTCCATGCTTCTGCAAATGACATTTCCTTTTCACTGTCTACCTAACTAAACATGACACATTCCTCAGCACTCAGCTCAAGCATTATCTTCTCAGGAAAACCTTCCCTGACCTTTCACTCCACCCTGGCCCCCAACACCTCATGCTTCCCTCAATCACAACACTTAAGAACATCATTCTAATTGTTTGCTTGTCTCTCCCAGTAGACTGTGAGCTCCTTGAGAGCAGAGACTATGTCTTTCATCCTACAGCCCAACCACCTAACTCAGTGTTATACAGCAAGGACCCAATGAATGAATGTTGAATGGATGGAAGGTTGGACAGACAGAATAAATGAATGGATGAATGGCAGTGGGTGAATACTTACAAAATCATCCTCATAGTCCATGGGGGGCTCTGCTGGAGGGGCACAGCAGTGACGGATATCCAGCCTCATCTGAAGCTCACGCACCTGTCGACGTAGCTGCTCCACCTCTTGCTTGTACCCTGCTTCAATCTGCCGTAATCGATGCTGGATCACATCCGTGGGAAAGGGGAGTCCATCATCATCCAGGTAGAGAGGAGGCACTGGAGAAGGGCAGCTCAGTGGAACAGGCTTTGTGTTGGAGACCTGCTTTGGGTGACCAGACAACCACATCCGGTTGTTTTTCCCTCCTGGACCAGTACAGTGTCCATTGGAATGACTAGAACAGACTGGTGACTTCACCCCTTCTCTCTGAGCCCACTGGCCCCCAAAGCAGGGCCCCACTGCACGCATCTGCTTACTGCTTGACCTTTTGCTACAACAGCCATAGGAAAGCAGCCGCCGAGGGGTGGTCTCCCCACTCGGGAATGAAGTCACCATCCCTTGGAAGCTGTCCCAGTTGGACCCTAAAAAAGAGTACTCACTTATCTGGCTCTGAGAAATTGGCTTTCGGGCCAATTCCAATGGCACTTTCCCAAAGCGAGGATTTTCCAATAACTGCCCATTTCTATTATTCCCTCTTTTGCCAGTGTCTTCCTCCCCATGAATCAGATCTGGCACAGAACTGGGTTTTTCCTGGTGGGAGATACTTGCTACAGACCCTGGGGAATCTTGGCTGAGGAAGTCAGTGCTTGGGTCCAGAGGAGTTTGGCAGGTAGTGCTCGGTGGGTCACAAAGGGTGCCCAAACTGTGATTTGGAGCACATCTGGAAGGCACACCTAGCACAGAGTCTAGGTGGGCCTGTTGTGGGGTGCCTGTAAGGGAGTCCCGGAAAGACTCAGGGAAATCACAAATTCCATCACACTTGCTGGAAATGACTTTAGAGAGTGCGCCGACAGCTTCTCTTTCAGGACAATGTTCAGGTGGCTCCTCTGTGCCATCTAAAGTCCTACCCAGCTCATTCTGGGCACAAAGGTCTGGAGCTGGTGCCTTAGTCTCTTCCAGGACTTTAATCCCAGGATCAGAGGTGTTGCTCTTCATTTTCTGGGGCACTGCAGTATTAAGCAGTTTGTAACTTGGAGAACAGCTTTTGTGACTCTTGAAAGGTTTACTGTTCAAGTAGTCTTTCTGGCTGCTGGGCAGAGGGGGAAGAAGACTCATTTCTGCTACAGGCTGCTGAGGACCTCCTACCCCAGATTCCACAAAGGTTGCCTCTGATCCCTCGGGATTGCTGTGCCAGGGCTCCAGGCCTACTCTGGCCTCCTGACAGTGGTTATTCAGATTAGGGTCACTGGATGTGCGAGTCAGGGGGCTGCTTGTGTCACAGGCAGAAAGAAGATCATCCATAGATCTGGTTTTAGGTAACCTGGAATGACAAACACAATACCTCCAGGTCAGAAAATGTGAGCCACCTCCAATACATAGACTCAGGTCATCAAAGCAATTATCAAAACCAGAGTTCACAAGCCCTAACAACAATTAAGATTACAAAATACCAAGGTTCACTGCAACAAGGCTACTCTGCAAAAAGTGTGGGACATGAACCCTGGCCTCAAAACCCAGGATCTGCCCTCAGCTTTTATCAGTCCTCACCCTACACAATCTCACTGGGCAATCTCAACCCTGGTTTCAACTACCTTCTATGCTGATGCCTTCTAAATGTACTATTGCAGCTAGGAACACACCTAAGCCTCAAGCCTAATGTCCCTCTGCCTCTATCACACATGGCAGGACAGAAAGAAGATGGGTTTTGGAGCTGGACGATATTAGCTCTCTCTGACACTGATTAGCTATGTGACTACAAGTCAGTTACCTAACCCCTCAGACACTTGATTTCCTCCCCTGTAAAATGATAATAAATTATACCTTGTAGAGATGCTATGAGGATCCAACAAAACATAGGCAACCAACCACAAACTTATTAGGACTACACTCAAAACTCCTCATTTTTACAACTTTCCCTATTATAAATTATTCCTAAACACAGCTTTTTACAACCACTTAACAGCAGCATGCTCCTCAGACTCCCATGTCACCATGGAAACTTCCCCTAGTATACAGCACTCAAAGAGTTCTAGCGGCATTCCAGCACACCAAATGGGTAACAAACATCTTCAAGAATGACCGCCCTGATTTTTAATACAATTCAAAGACCTTAGAGCAACGAAAACTTCAGGGAAATTCCCCAGGAAACAGTGGTGACTTCACAGGACTCCTATTTTCAGATGCCTCAGTCCAATCCATACAGAAAAACCCCTAAAGGTAGAACAATACAGCTGATTCTTTTTCAAGGGTTTGGTTTTTGAAACTTGTAATGTTTTAAAAGTGTTTTTGTGATTGATTTTACTTTTCTGATCAATTTTGTGTGTGTGTGTGATATGAAATTCCAGGAAGGCAAGAGCAAGAGTCATGATTACAGTCTCTAGAGCCCCAAGGTCAAATCCCAGCTTGGCAAAGCTTTTAGCTTTGTGACCTTAGCTTCTCTAAGCCTGAGTTCCCTCATCTATGGGAGAAAGGTAAGGAACCAACCCCTTAAAGCCACCAGGAGAATTAAAGAAAATAATCCATGTCAAAACACGTGGCTCAGTGCATCCCATATTATTGCACTTACTGCTTACTAGTTTATCTCCCTCTACGAAAGTGCCTTGAGGGCAGAACTGTGTCTCATTTGAATCCCCAGCACCTAGTGCAGGGCTACTCAAACAATTTGAGAAGTGAAAGAATGAGCTTAACCACATCAAGTTTCCACTGCTAGGTACCAATTGAATGAAATAGACCAGTGGAGTTCAATATTTGGTGTATATCAGGAACTCCTGTGGATCTTCTAGATACACAGACAACTAAGGCCCATTCAAGACCAGCTGAATGAGAATGGCCAAAAGTGAGACGTAGGCATCCGTATTTTTAAAAAGTACCACAGCTAACTTTGTTTTTTTCCTTTTTTTGTTTTACTTATTACAGAAACTTCCAAACATGCTTAAGAAGTAGAGAGAAGAGTATGAAGAACTCCTGTGTAGTCTTCACCCGGATTCAAGGATATCGACAGTCTGCCATCCTCCACAGCTGACTTCTATGTGCATCAAAGGTTTAATTGACAATGCTGGGAGAGACAACAATGCTTGAGGAGTTTAGGACAAAGAGAGAACTCATCCAGCTAGGGTGTCAGGGAAGGCTACACACAGAGGGTAGGATTTGAGCTGGGTATAGAAGAATGTGTTGGACTTTAATGGAAGAAAAGAAAAGAGGGCAGGACATTTTTGATCTAGGGAAAGGTAGGACCAAAGGTAAGTCAGGTCAGCTGTTAAAGAAACTATTTCCTTTAAAACTTTTATACTACTTATTCCTCCAAATCCAGCGCTCCATCTTGAACTGCCTACAGCACACCTCCTCTTTGCTGTCAATATTTCAATCCCAACCTGCCTGCATCTCCTGTTTCTCCCCGAACTGAATTCTCAACTTTTCAGTGTCTATAGATGATACTAGCATTCTTTTGGTTTCTAAGCTCAGAGACTTGGGACGTGTCTTTGACTGGTCCTCTTTACTCTTTTCTTCCACCCTCCAATGTTCAATCAACTCTATAGCCTGATAATGACTTTTCTATAACATCTCTGAATTTAATCCCTTCTCTTTTCCAAGGACTCATCCCCTCATATCTGAATTACAACAGTGCTGGCTGGTCTCTGTGCCTCCAACTACCCTGCTCATTGATTAGTTCTCCAAAAATCCCATCATCACCAGTTCACAGTGACTTCCTACAATGACTTACTATTGACAACGGAACCAAAATAAATTCTTCAGTGTAATGCTTAAAGCCCTCAATGAACTAGCTGATATATTTTGTTTCTATTCCTCAAAATAGCCCCTTCCCAACCCCAGCCAGCTCCTGGTGTTTTTTTTTTTTTTTTCAAACTCTCGCTCATGTATCTAATTCCTTTGGACCTCTCTCCACTAACCTTGTTACGAAGCTCACAGCGCCCTTTATTTCATTTGTCTGTTCATTTAGGCATTTACTAAAGCACCTATTATGTGTCAGGCCTTGAGCCAGATACTAAGGATACAAAAAGCCACGGTTCCTGCCTAGTATTCCATGAAAACTTCTCTGGGTAAACAGTCACCAAATGACCCCTTCTCACTTCTCATTTCTCCAACAGCTCTGAATCACATACATTCTTGTTTGCCTAGATGCTGACTTAGAATTGTTTTCTAGTTGTCATACATCTTATCTTACAGCTTTTTACAAGTATCTTAAATAAGACCAATATCTTCTATTTCTTTGGTACAGCCCTTAAATTCTAGTATAGTACTAGGCAACTCGTAGGCATTAAAGAAACATTTATTGAATTGAAAAATTAGATATTGATTTAAGGCAACAATTATTAAATGGGTCACTGAACTTACTGAGAATCTGATAAAGTTATGGCCCCTCTCCCTGGAAAAGTCAACTTATGAATCTATACCCAAATTCTGCATAGTATAGAGAAGGAGAAAATCACAGAATTCCTGAAGCCTCTCCTTGGGCCCCTGAAAATGGACTCAGCTCCCAAGACTCTAAAACCAGTAATTTAGGGGGGTGGGTTTTTGTTTTCCTTTATAATATTCAACCAATAATATGTTATATTTTAACTTTAAAAAATCTTACACTAATAAACAAAGATCAAAATTTGAAATGTACATATCCTTTGAACCCAGTATTTGCATTTCTAGGAATTTATCTGGCAGAAATGCAAAGATCGATCGATTGATCTATCTCAAATGCAAAGATACACATAAAAGATAACTCTACTGAACTGTACACTTAAAAATGATTCAGATGATAAATATTATGTTACGTGTATTTTACCATTTTTTAAAAAGCATGCACACATAAGGATGTTAACCAAAGCACTCTCTGTAACGATTAAAAAAAAAGGAAATCACCTAACTGACCAATAGGAAACTGGTTATATAAATCATGATAACTTATCTTAAGAGAGGACCTTGAAAACACACAGAGTGCACTAGAGGCTAGCTACAAGTCCTGGGCCAAGTTTCTCCTTCAACTGACTAAAGAAGGTGCTTTTAAATAGCTCATAAAAGAAAGAGAACAGCATTTAGGCAAGACACAAAGCAGTTACTGGCTTCCTAGTGGAGAGAGGGAGAGCAAGATGGGCTCTTCTTACCTTTCCAGAGAGCGGCCGGAGAACTCCTGGCTCTGAGCCACTGGGGAAAGGTAAAGATCCATGTTCTCCTCCCCAAGTGTGCATGGAGACGATGCTGGCAAATAAACAGCTGTCCAGAGGTGTAGGGCCCGGACATGACACACAGGATGCAGGACCTAGGGAAGCAGCCCCATACTAGTGTTTTGTGAGATGTTCCAGGTCCCTCTTCCTTCCCTAAGCCTTTGGCCCTACATTCTCCCAACTGACTTCGCCTGTTCTCCCTACAGGTCTCCAAGCAGCACCTACAGGATAAGGGTTCGGACATACCATGTCTGAGCCAGGTGTGTAGAGGAAGTTATGAAAGTTCTTATTGCCAGCTCGCAGGAGAGCCCACACAGAGCAGGTCCGCTTGTAGATGTTGCGCTTCTCTCGCTCACAGGGGTTGTTGGCCAGAAACGTGCCATAGAGGCAAGAGTACGTGTGCTGCACCAGTTTTACCTAGAGGCCAAGATAGCTTGTAGCTGGGGCCTTGGCCCGCATCCCCCAACCCTGGTCACAGGCTTTGGGACTTACCAGGAATGCTTCATTAAACTCAAACAGGCAGGGGAACTGCTTGAGCAACTGATGAACAGAATCAAGCCACTGGAGGAACACAGGGCATTGCTCATTTTGGTCCTCTGCATTCTCCTGGTGGCCACAGCGATCTCCAAACTTGTGTCCAAAATCCAGCCAGTCAGACTCTACTAATACTTGGAAGCCCTACAAAGAAGACAGAGTTCAAGCACAGGGCCTCTCTGGAAAGGCTAGTGTCCACTCCCCAGGGGATGCCCAAAGCAGGAGCTGGCAGCTTCAGAGAATAGAACTGATCCTAGAAGAGGACTGAAAGCCACCAATGTCCTCTACTGAAAGATCCCCAAGACAGATCCAGAGGGCATGACACCTTCCCCACCCCGTTTTCCCTCCATTCTTTCCCACCCAACCCTTCTCAATACCTCCAGTGTCCTGTAATACGGGTCCAGTAGTATTTTGGCCAGGGCTACAATCTGTGGCGTGCGGTCCCAGCCGTCTGAGCAGTGGACCAGCACAGGCCGGCCTTCCCGGTCTACTGTGTTAGCCACGAGCACAGCTGCCTTTAGCATCACCGACAAGTGCTGCAGCCATTTGGTGCTCTCCAGTGCTGACAACCAGCTACACAAGAGCATAAATCAAGTCTGTCACCAAGGGCACTGAGGCTACAATAGGCTCTCCACCACCCACGGCCAGCTACACCTAATAAAGTCCCTAGTGAGGGCTGAAGCCAAGAGGTCCAGCCCATGGCCTTTCTGCCAAGAAATATCTAGCAGGAAGGTAGGGAAGACAGGACCTGAAGCAGATGAGAGACTCTTAGGACAGAGAGAGAAACTGGGAAGCATCACATACACACTTAGCCAATTTCTTTCCCCAGTTCTCTGTGTTGTTTGAGTAGGACAAGTGATCCAAACAAAAGGAACCCAATGTCCTGTGGCCATGCCAAAGTGTTGGCTGAGAAGTGCAAGAAGTGTTCTTGGAACTGGCCCACTGTGCTGAGGCCCTCAGGTCTCCCGTACCTCCACACTTGCCATTTCCCCATCTAATTTTCCAAGAACAAGAAGTACCAGGGAAGGGATGAGACGAGGGAGGATGGAATCAGAGTAGGGAACACTTACTTGCTGGGATCAGGCATCTGGCTGCACACCGCCCGGAGGTACTGGAAGCTGTTCCGGATGGCATGGATGTTGGCCATTCCCATGAACACCACCTCACAGTTGGGGTAGTACTCTGTAAATTTAAAAGAGGAGAGTGGAGCTTAAGAGCACGTCCTGGAAACAGGCATCCACGACAAAAGCAGCCCCAGTGGGCAAACCTTCCCTGGTAGGGCAGAACACTCCAGGATGGGAACTAAATATACCCTGGAAATCTAAATCACCCTTTTATCTCTGGATGCTCAGATGCCATATACTAATGGAAGTAATAATAATATTAATGACAAATGATAGTCGTGGTACTATTAGTAATAACCATATATGGTAAATTCTCTATGCTAATAATTTTATATGTGTAACCTCTAATCATCCCAACAAATTGGCAAGGCATGTATCATCCTCATTTTATAGATAAGAAAGTGAAATGTAGACAGATTAAGCAACTTAATCATAGTCATAGCTAGTAAGGGACAGAGTCCTGATTCCAAGCCAGGTTTGTTTGGCTCTTTCTACTACACAAGCTGCCCCCAGCCCCCTCCTCACCAAAACGCCCCAGAGCACAGACAGGTTGCAGACACTGGGATAACAACAATACCTTCGCATTCACAGCCTCCACCCTTAGCCCGGTTAGCCACTGCTGCCGTGTAGGATCGAGCATCCAGGATCAGCAGCTTCTGGGGGGCTGCTGTGCTCTCCACTCCAGAGCATGCAGTCAGGGAGGAATCTAAATACACAGCAGGGAGAAGACCCTGGGTCAGCCAGCCGCCCAGCCTCACCCTACCTTGGGGCACTCCCTTTCAGAAGAGAAGAACATACAACTACAGACCCTTCACACCCCACAGCCTCCCAAAAGGCAGGGACCCAGGCACTCTATGTATTGTTATCTTCCCATCCTCTCACTGGGGGCTCCCTGGAAGCCAATGAGGCCAAAGTGGAGGCCTGCTCCCCAGGGGGCCAGCACCATCCACACCTTACCGAAGTCAGTGTCACATGCCTCACTGGCATCACTATTCCCAGTGCTGAGGGAGCCTCCAGTAGCCCTTGTCCCCGGGTCCAGGGCACAGGCTTTAGCGATGGACGTGACCAGGTACTCATCATCAGCATTGCGCCAGCCCCACCAGCTGATCTCAGGCTGGCTGCAGCGGGCGATGGCTGCCCCATTGCGCAGGTGTCTGAAAAAACAGAAGAAACCATCATGCCCTTGGCATTCGCATCCCCAAGAGACCTACCACCAAGACCCCAGGGGGCCAGACCAAGATCTCCAGCAAACAGCAAACAGCAGCTACCAGTGCATCCAGGCCTTGACAATGGCAACCAAAGCCCTTAACACATCTGGATGGCTTCAGAGCTTACCAAGCGCTGCCACACACTTTTCTCAAAAGGGCTCTGTGTTCGCAAGGTGACCTTGACTCATCAAATCTGCGTGGCACCTGCTCCCAGTACAGATACTGAACAGGAGAACAAGCCTGAGCCCAGAGCACACATACCTCCAAACGTCATGGCTACTACCTGTCTCACTGTGTTTTAGCTACAATGTCCTAGTGCAGGGGTCAGCAAGCTTTTTCAGTAAAGAACCAGACAATAAATCTTTGGCTTTGTGTATCACAGCCAGTTTCTGTCACACATTCTTCTTTCTGTTTTTTGTTTTTTTTTTTTTTAAATAACCCTTTAAAAATGTAAAAACCATTCGTAGCTCACAGGTTGTACATAAAACAGGCTGCAGGCTGGATTAGGTTCCGAGGCCACAATTTGCCAACCCCTGTTCTAATGCAGTATTTCACACACACATGTCCTTAAAAACAAGTAAAATGAATATACTCTCCAAAGCCTCATCTTTAGGAGAAAAAAACTGAGGCAGGTTTTGTTTAAAAATTATTTCATGCCCTGCAGGGTGTCAATTCTCAGTCAACCAGGCTGCCATAAACCTCCTCATTTGTCTCTTTCCTTATTGCATAAAAAGTGTCCTCCCTACTTCGCATCCCCCACTTCCTCACCTATACACAACCACAGGGATCCGCTTCCAGGAGCGGAAGGAAGCCACGTTCTCCAGCTCTTTATCTGTGATCCACACAGGAACCAGCAGCTTCTGGGGGTAACTGGGGCATAATCTGAGAAGAGACCAGATGGGGTCACCGAGCTTGATCTAAGACATGTGATGACAAGATCCACAGGGACGGCTTTGTGGGAAGAGGGATGGGAGCCCTCCTCCCTCCCAGAGCCAGGAACTGTGCCCATGGAGCTTTCCACACGTGAACAAGGTCTGAGTCTGGATGGGTATTCTGGTTCCCCACCCGCTGCCCTCTCACTTGTAATTGCTGTTGATATGCGAGACTCTCCACACATTCTGCAGGTCAAAGCCCATCCTCACAAGCTCAGCCTCCTGCCGACATCGTATGTGCTCTCCTGCAACACAGTTCCCACACCTGTCAGCATCCAAGAGCGCCATCTCCGGGGTGGAGGACGGATGAGAACCAAGAGATGAGAAGTCTCCCAAAGAAAACAGCCTGGCCTCACCTGGCTGACACAGGTGGGTATGCTGGTCCTCTTCGGTCAGCCCCAGGCACCAGGCATGGTAGGCAAAAGCAAAGAGATCCTCAGGCTTGGCAGGCCTCGCTGTGGCCCGGCTTAGCCGCGAGAGCCACTCTTGGCACTGCTTAAAAGTGGAGAAGTGGCACCTGCCAGGCAAGAAGCCACAGAGTGAGGCAGGAGGGAGGTGTGCATTTGGGTCATGTGGGTCAAAAACACGGCCACAGAAAGGCTGTGGGGAGAGGAGGCTGCAAAGCAGGAGGTAAGGCATGGGGACTCTGGGGAGGACCAGGGACCCTGGCCAACACTCAAGAGAAATTGTCTTTGGGACAATTTTCTTCCCAAGAACTCTTGTCCTTGAGACATACTTATCCCCTCTAATGGGGCCCTACCATTTCTCCCATCAAATCCAAATGCTACCCCAAGGCCCTGACTGTCTGCTGCTCCTTGTGTTACCTCCCGTGACTCCTAACACAAACCTTCTGCTTCAGGCAGGAAGTCCTGCTCACACTATTCCTGTCTCCTTGTTTCTTTGCTTCTGCTTAATAACGTCTCCTCTTGGCCTAGCCACATCCTACTGATACTCTGAAGACAGTTCCAGTCCCACATCTCTCCTTGAGGCCTTCCCAGGCTACTCCATTCCCCAGACCCCTTCCTCTCTCATTCTTAACGTGCTTAGAGTATTAAATGGTACGTTTTTTCACAGCATATCGCTAGATGTTATGCCTTCCTTCAGCAACTAGACTTTAACCTCCTTGAAGGGAA